CCATGCGCAGCTTACTTCCAGGTTTTAGGACGCGTAACTCCACCACTCTGCTGGTTATGAACAAGACTTCACTTTAAAATAGGGAACATGTTCTTAGATATAAATACCTAATTTTGAGTTATTTAGACACCATTAACACTTATAGTTTCATGCCTTGTTACATAAGAATAGATCATATTTGTTAAGTGTTATTATGGTATAATTACTATTCGTGTTGTACTACTGCCTTATTAGACCCATATTGAGCAGCGCATATTAAGACCAAAACTCATGTACAACAACGTCCTTACTTGCAATAAATAAGCACTAATTAGAGGGTTATTGAGGAAAAACTCTCAACTAATGGCTTATTACTTGTAGAATATGGTCATGTAGAATAAGGCATTAATAAGTGTTTTATAATGACTAATAAAGAGCCAATATACTGCTAATATATTAGCAGTATATTGGATGCATGCATGCATGCATGTTAATTAACAACTAGTTGATGGTTAATTTGTGTACCTTCATATAAATTGTTACCAATCTGTGCAATTTTATTCGCGTCAAGTTTGTGCATTTGATCAGAATCATCTGTGTGGACAGTCCTGTAGTATAACACAAAATGTAGGAAGCTGTATAGTAAATAAACCTGCTGGAGTATAAACCTCATATAACCAGGCCCGGGGCTGCAGTACAGTAACCTCAGATCTGAGCTCTGCAGTTAGGGTAGAAGAGTCGAAGATAAGAGGAGCTAAGTCAGAGAGCTGTTATTATGTCAACACATTTCACATAATTAGGTTAGTTGAAAGCAACAATATTGAGTTGAACCTATATATTTTTATTTAAACTTAATATTATTGCTTTCAACTAACCTGATACAGTTATGGAAAATCTGTTGACATTATAAAGTTATTTAAAGTTTCTGTTTTTTCAGTGTATCGACACAGATTTTGTAAAGATTGAAAACAAATGTTATTGGTTAGTCTTACTATTGTTTGTTGCAAACAGTCAAAAAGTCCATTATGCATTATAAAGTTTGAATGCAGTTATCTAGCTGAAATACTGTGAGTAACCACTCAGAGAAAAGGAACGTGTTATCTTTATGCTCCATCACTGAGCCCTTTAAAATCAGTGCGTGTGCTACACAGTGTTGAGTCAGTGTGTGTGTGCTCCTGGCAGTGCTGATAAAGTGAAAACGCCTTGAAGGTTGCTGTGATAAAGTAATGGGTCCAGCCTTGAGAATAGCCTTCCACCCTCACAATGAAGGAATGCAGAAAATGTTTGCACAACCTCCTCCATGTTGCAACACTGGCAGGATACACGTAAATCTGTCCAAGTGTGTGTTTGGTTGGGAGAGATCTGGGTGCGCCATCCTAAAATAATCACGCCTGTACTGTGGTACTCTACTAAAGGGCCAATCTGTTCTAAGTTGTGGGAGTTTTAAAGGGAGTCTGTGGGACCGGTGCTTATTTGAAAAGATCAGTTGTTTACAGTTAATTTGAGAATCCAATTGCTAGATCATTAAAATCTTTTCATCCACGCAGATGTAAAAATACAGAAAGTATAATGCCCCTGAAATACAGAATTTCATCAGACGCAAACCTATAGAACACCCTACAGGAAAGGAAACACCCCAAAAAGCAGAATAGAGCCTTTTTAATTTGGCTTACAATTAATCAAGGTTTAAAAAGTACTAAAACAGGTGCTACAGGTAACAGTAGATGTAATTGATTTAAGACCAATAATCCGTGTTGGTGGCTTATTTTCAATCATTGAACTGGTTTTAAATCCAATTATTCGCAAAACTAAGTCTTACATCCAAATACTGACCCACAATATCTGAGACAGGAAACTACTCAGCAAACAAGTGGAAGTAAAAAACTGGCCTATTTTTACAGAAGTTTTAGGAACTCTAACAGGACACAATTACTTTGTTACAGGGCAGGTTTTTGGCACTATATTTTCAGAATCTGCTTTTTAATAATAGACACTGCTCATGCTCATACTCAAGATGGAACCCAAATGAACACAATATATTATTGTATTGTTCTGTATATATTATAATGTATATATTACAGAATGAAGTGTCTGAAGATGGCCTACAGCAGCACAGAGCTCTCTGTATTCTCATGAAAACAGTGATATAGAAGCATCCGGCAGGTCTCTAGGAAAGTGTGACTGTCATCCAGGATAGGCACAGCACCGCCTCTAAAATTAGTCCACAAGGTTTACATTTAGGTTCAAATGTGTTGTGTGCAAAGGATGCTGCTGCTGCTGCATTTAGGGCTGCGTCTGCCACCTTGTGGGGGAAATGGTGCTATTGCCATGTGGAGGGGGCAGCAGGTTCCTGAGAAAAGCCTGCATCATGTGGTACAATCCCCGGTGAGGAGGAGAGGAGCGCTGATGCATAAAGAATCCGTGCGTTTTTTGCGTATTGCTCCTCTGATGTGCACTACTTGCGCGTGGTGTCGGGAGAACATGAAGAGAAGCAGCCTGGGGGAGGAATAAGGAGGGAGGAGAGAGCAGACAGGAGCAAAGCTGTTCCCTGAAAGCAGCACGAGGAGAAAGGAAGTCAGGATGAGGAGAGGAGTAGCGGAGGAGGTGTAGGAGACATGAGATCCAGGGTGTGAAGGCGAGGAAGAAAGGATGCTGCTCACGCTGCTTTTCTACCTTCGAGTCAAAGGTAGGGGGTGGGGTCAGAGTGGGGGTGTCTGGGACTTGGTCGGGTCACCTGAGGTCTGATAGAGAGAGCATCTAAGGCTCAGTAGAAATGTTGCAGCGATGATATCATTAGTATTCCCCTGTGATGGAAATAATCCACGGTGATCTTTAACTGCAAACTGCTGGTATGGATTCTGTTGAATGCTGATGAAAAGTCTAGGAAGAGGGTTCTTGTATCAAATCAAAGCACAGCTTTTATTTAGTGTGTGTGTGTGTTTAGAGAAGATGCCTTTAAAAAAAACGGTTGCTTTCTGCCTGTGGCCACAGGAGCAGCAGCCGGCTGAAGACTGAAGAGCAGTCATTCAGGACAGGATCAGTTAGCGACCATGACACACACATGCCCTAGATATTTGACTATATGCAGATATCTCCCAAAAAAATACGTTTTACTGTCGTTGCATGCATTTTGGGGTTCAATTGCAATCAGAGCATGAACGTCCTTTTTTCAACAAGGTCATTTAGACTCCAGAGTTAAACATCAGCAGCTGCTTCTCAATTCAAAGTCCCAGTTTATGCTGGCTGGGAGGCTCTGCTCTGTGCGCTGCTCTCTGTCAGTCCTGACAGCTCGGTTCCTCTCGGTTCCTCTCGGTTCCTCTCGGTTCCTTTCAGAACCGCGGCAGCTGCCGATCTGGATCTCTGTGACCCGTTTAGACCGCTCTCTGTGGAGCAGTAACGTGTTACAGTCTCTGAAGAAGGATTTAAGGATGCTGTGGCTTGTCTTAACCATTTGCAGCAGTCTGAAGCAGCATGAGACATGGGTAGAATGAACTTGACATGCTATTCACGGCTGCGATCATGCAGATGACCTACTTTACAAGTGATATCATAGGAATCGGCAAGGAAAGTGAATTTTGCTTGAAAATTCAATGTTAGAAGACATTCAGAATCAGAATTTGGTTTATTGCTAAGAACGTTTTCACATGTAAGGAATTTGCATTGGTGTATAATAAAGGAAACAGAAACACAGTAAGAGTTTAAATGTAAAATTAGAGCAGATATTGAAAAAAGGGAGAAACATTATATTATAAATGGAAATACCATAAGAATATGTCAAATAACTCAAAAAAATATGTAAAGTATTTCTGAATTAAAAGTAAGATTCTGATATTGGGTACTTTCAATATAAACTGCACTATACAGTAGGTGCCAAGTGCCTGTTGTTATTATATTACACATACTATTGATGAAAGACATGCACATTGGAATTAGAGAATACAACCAAGCTTCAAATGTATAGCGAACAGGTGGGCGGCATTAAAGGTGGGGTAGGTCATTTTGGAGAAACCAGCTCGAATTCGCAAGAATTTGAAAATACACAGCCGGAAAAAATCTGCCACTTCCTCACAGAGCCCCTCCTCCAACACACACGAATGCGCACATGACCAATGAGGGCACGAGATAAGTTTGTGCACAGATGGAAGGCTGACAGGCAGGTAGGCCATCCAGTTATTTTAGCCGGGCCGGCTCAGATGATTGGTCGTGCTTTTTACAGTACCACGGCTTCCACAGATGACCTTTGTTTATGGATATTTTGACAAAGCACTTAAGATATTCATTGCTATCGGGATGTTAAGAGCATTCCATGGAATATAACAAAAAGTGTATCTTGAGCCGGGTTCTCAAACTTACCTACCCCACCTTTAATGATTATTTACATTGTTGATTCATTGTTGTTGTTGTTTTATTAGTTTTGTCTATAAAATGTAGGAAAATTGCAAAAAAGGCCCATTTATAGAGGTGTCATGCTTCCGACTGCACATTAATGTTTCCACCAATGTATGGATGTGATTTCCCAAATCAATGCACAGCCTTTATTCGGTGTGCATGTAAACAGTTGGAGTTTTGCATTTGTACGTGAATACATCTTAAAGCAGCAGAATCATGCTTACACTAACATTTTTATCTGAACAATTCATGTTTAATAATGGTAATAGATTTTTTTTGCGTATTAAATAACAGCACTGACGACGTCAAATCAATGTACTGCTTTTATTTAGTGTGTGTGTGTGTGTGTGTGTGTGTGTGTGTGTGTGTGTGTGTGTGTGTGTGTGTGTGTGTGTGTGTGTGTGTGTGTGTGTGTGTGTGTGTGTGTGTGTGTACGCTTTTAGAGAAGATGAGTAGAAATGGAAAAACGTTGCTTTCTGACTGTGGCCACTCGGGCAGCAGCAGGCTTTTAAACTGTATTTAGGACATTATCAATCAGTGACCCTATCACACACACTGAATGCTAATATCTCCAAAAATATGAGTTATATACAAAAAGATCTGCGCTGGTTGGAGGGAATGTGAGATGCACATATACACAAACACTACAATAAGAACAAGTTGGTGTGCATTTTAACATTTGATTTGTCTGTATCAGATGATATCGGCCTAAGAAATTATTTGATATGTAGCCAAGCGTGTTACAGTGTTTTACAGTGTCACAGTGTGTGTTCTCACCCCTCAGCTCTGGTATGGATGCGGGGCGGGGGTGACACGGTGATAGACTGGTTGCCATGGTGTCACAAAGAGTGGCTGACTCATCAACATGTGACACTGACTTGTGACACACACACACACACACACACACACACACACACACACACACACACACACACACACACACACACATACACACATCTCTTTCAGAAAACCCAGTCCTTATAGGGATAGGACTCCTGAACCCGGATCAAATTTTAGTAATCCCAACTTTGAAATTGGCTGACTTTTGTAATTTCATGCACTTTGAAATGTCCGTTCTCTCCCTCTTTATCTGGAACATGCTCATTAAAAAGAAAATTGAATAAAAGCTTTAATTAGAAGTCAAACTAAGTGGTTAGTCATGCCATTGTTGAGCATCCCCTATCACTGAGGTCTAATTATGTCTAAAAATGCTTCAGAGCTGTTTCATTGATCCCTCTTCGGAAGTGTCCAGGAAATCACAATACACCCTGATAGGAACATGGCTGAATTTGTATTCATGAAAACTGCTGATCAGCACTTTGATTTCATTTTGAGTGGTTCAGTCAACTTTGTTACACCTATGGTGTTCCCGGTCGAAAATGACCCCCATAAGAAATGAATGGGTAACCCTAGATGATGTTATTCCATCAGATAGTACACACTCACAAATAGCCCAGATGTTATTTTTGGAACACTTTCTGTGTGTATTCTTTGTATGTGTTCACTACAACCAGTAGTCTGAGACATTGTTCACAAAGTGTGTTAAATGTAGTGTTACAATTATGAATGGTTTGAGTGTTAATGTAAGAGCAGTTAAAACAGACCGGAGAGGAGGGTTAAAAACATACAGCACTGTGTATTCCCAGTATCAGAGCCTTGTGCTTTGTTTTTTGTGAAGGGTGTTAGAGGGAGGGGCATGTGTAGTTGGTAGCAACTTGCTGTTACTTTCCTGTGAGCCAGAGGAACAATGTCTGGAAATGAGTCAAGCCCTCGTAAATGTCCTGTCCTGGAGAGATTTGGCAGTACCACCCTGCTCTCCTGCTCAGACTCCCCACACAGGCCACAGTGCAACAGCAGCCGTCCGCTCCTCTTCACACCTCCTCCACCCAACATGGCAGGACTGTGTGCGCTGGCCTTTACATCCGGAGGTGTAGTATTGTGTTTTTGACTTATCTGTTGTGGCTGCTTCAGTCTGCGTCCTTCTCTCTCTAGTTGGACCCCTCGGCAGAGAAATGGGGCAGTGCAGTTTCCTGGTTCCCCAGAGTGACGTGTTGTAATAGGTCAGCTCTGTGAAGTTGTGTGTTCAGGCGCTCATGCTGGGAGGAGGATCCTAACAAGATGTAAACACCATCTGATCCGCCCCCTGAAGCTAGAACATCTTTATCTGTGTGGATTCATATCTGATGATGAGGGGTAACATGTGAAACAACAGGGAATCACACGGGTGTATTTATCTGTAGTCGTGGTGTTTGTAGAGCGGTTCGATACATTAACAATATTTACAATATCATGAGGATGAATCACAGCAAAATGGCAAGAAAAATCATCATGAAATCAATCTTGGTTCATTTGCAATGGTTGTACATTTACTAAAGTAAACATTTTAGGTTCTTGGACTTTATTTAACTATTTTCATGTTATCCTACTTTTGAATGTACTACATTTGTTTGGCAAATGTTATACTTTTTACGACACTAAATGTATTTAGAAGATTAAGTTACTAGTTACTTTGCACATTTCAATTATAAATACACAATTTCAATCAACTAATACATTATTATAAGTTGTATTATATAAAACAATTCAAATAAATCCCATTTTTACCAACTGCAACATTAAAGTGATGAAGAGATTATTGCTTAATAGTTATCATACAACCATTTAAAATATATTTTTGCTTCAATTTGCCATCCTGCATATTGAATACTTTGGTTCTTTAAGTATATTTTGATGCTAACAATTCTTTAACTTCTACATCAGTACAAAGTCGAATGCAGTACCTTATTTTTTAGACTGTAGTATTGCTAGTACTTCTTCCACCTCTGTTCATCTATGCTCACATTTCAACTGTTCCCCTCAGATTTCACATTAGCGGCGCTCTGCATGCCTTCGGTGCTTCACACATCCGTCACTTCCCCTACAGCAGCGCTCTAATGTGGTGTGTGAATTCACACTGAGCACACACCCCGAGCTCATCCAAAGAGACTCCCGGTGCACCGAGGCCACGAGTGAAGTCGGGCTGCTGTTGTTATTTAAAACTGGGTTTGTTCTGTGACGCTACACTTACACCTGAATGGTTCTTCAGCTCATAAAGAAGACAGTGCCCTTCAGAAATACATTGACATACTTATCTCGCTTATTACACGGCTACATACTAAATAAATCAACGACTTGATTCACAATTCTGATAGAAAAGTACTTTATTGATTTAAAAATGATCGCATTGCTTCCGCTAAGAAATAATAGTCCGTTCCACTGTGTACCAAGGGCTTGAACTGCAGAAACAGAACCGTAACT